ATGGCAGCAGCATTCCCATGGTGTGGGGCAGCATAAGGGTCTGAGTTTGCAGCCAGTCCAGGGCTCTCAGCCCTGGGTCCATGCCCAGAAACACGACGGTTTGTTTGAAAACGGCAGCCAAGCAACTGGGAGCTCGATTGGAACATCCGGCTGGAAGAGCAGCTCCGTGATGAGGATGGGCAGCAGTACAGCCCTCATCCTTCTCCTCCTCCCCTGCCTCACCGGCTGCCTTAGGGATTGACCAGCACTAGTTCAAGGCACAAAGTCACGCCAGGGAAAACTGAGCTGGTTTCTGTGAGCCGGTCAAATATGCGGCAAGGTTTCCGCTCCAGATTACTGGAGGAAGGAAGTTTGCTCGGAAGGGGATGGGGATAAGGTGGGGGAGAAGGGAGGGAAGTGCATTCCTGCCTGATGAGGAACAATGTTGATATATTCATTTGTAAACTAAAGCTGGCCTGAGCGTCAAACACCTTGTCCCCATCAAGCTCCAAAGGATGTGCAGGAATACACAAGGAGAGGAGAGGAACCTCCTGACATCCGATGCAGTGTGTGGTTTCCCAGGGCTGAGGGATGGATGCTGTTCAGTCAGGTCTCATTCATGAGCAATAAAACCCTTCTCCAGTGCTGCTTTATCCCAGGGTCCCCCCATGATCACATCCTGCCATGCAAGGGTAGGAGCTGAGCACAGGTGAAACACCTGGGGGATCGATGGTTTCCTGGAGCCCACCCAGAGCCCCCATCCCTGCTGGGGCTGCCCTTCCCACACAGGATCAAATGGCTCCATAAAAGCATGGAGAGCTCATTACTGCCCTAATAAATGTTAAACATTAGTATGACACAGACAATGGGATTTTGTAATTATCTCTTTTTTAAGCAGCCAGATAGGGAAACAATACTGTTGGCTGATTAAAAAGCTCCTTTAATTCCCTTTGATCTGTATCCACCATTCAAAACTGGACAATTTATTACTTCCTGGATGCTCCTCAAGGCTGGTTGGATGTGGAATTTGCTGTTGACTGTGTCTATGACTGGAGGTGACCTTGCTGCACAGATCCCACCACGGCATCACCTCCTGTGGGCAGCAGGAAGGGAGAGGTGCTGTGCTGGGTCACAGCTGCCACCCCGTCCCCAGGAGCTGGATGGGATCCTCTGGGAGCTGTTTCATGCCAAGTCCACAGGTACACATGACCTGCTGGTGTCTGCCCTGGGTTGGTCTCCTAAAAAAAGTCCCAGAGTGGTGACCCTGCCCTAGCACAGCCCTGGCTGTAAACACAAAAGCTCTCCCCCAAATTGATGGAGCTGGCAGGCAGATAAAGTCCTGGAGGTGTCAAGGACATGACCCTACTGTCCCCAGGGTTCAGAAGGGAAAGGATTCTTCTAGGCAGCTGTCCCCAGGTGAGGGACAGGGCCATGTGTCCCTGTTTCCCACCAGCTCCCCTCTGCAGTGAAAGGGGTGGCAGATAAGAAACCACAGCTCTGGAAAACCCAGCAAGCAAAGGCCAGAAGTGCCCATGGGTGGTCAGATGTCCATGTGACTCAGCAGCTTCCTCCACATGGGGTCTGGACAGGTTCATCCCATTCTGGAGAGGTTCATCCCACTCTGGATGAACATTCCACAGCATGACAAAGCACCACTCACCACACAGACCAGCAACAGGAGGCTCTGCATCATTCCTGCTTTGCCTTATCCCCAGTTTCTGCCATCCCAGAGCAACTCCTGAAGAAGCAGGATGCTGACACATGGCTGAGTCTGTGTGGAGCCCAGGGGGCCGGGCAGCCCAGTCTCTGGTGTGGGCAGTCCCACGCTCACCGGCTGCAGTGACCCCACTGGCACCTCTCACCGGTGGCTGGCATAGAGGGGCTGCTGGCAAAGCACGAGCCTCATTCACCCCCTGCTCATAGGACACTCTTTAAGGTCCCCATATGCTCCAGGGAGCTGGGGGTTTGGTGGTCCATAAGGACATGGCAACTCCAGTGGCATCCAGGAAGAAGGTGGCCTATGCCCTGGAGGAGCCAACGTTTGGCAGAGCATCAAGGGTTCTGAACCTGAACCTAAGAACATGCTGCTTCCAGGCATTGAACAGATCACCTGGACACACAGGGACAAACTCCCAGAGCCAGAGCACCAGCCCAAGGCTGAGAGTGGCAGGATGTCCTTGAGCGGCCAGATACAGCACCTGCAGTCATGGGGCAGTGGCTGCCTCAGGTGGGTGCTGAGGATTCCTCAGCAGGGATCCCATGTGCTCCTGCCACCCAGCCTGGACACTAGAGGAATCTGGGAAGGGCTTAAAGGAGAACACTGTACTGGCAGCCTCAGGCAGCCTTTGGGCCCCTGAGCTGGGATGGGGAGGGACAGAGGGATGGAGAGATGCAGAGATGGAGAGCTTCAGAGTCGGTGGCACGGATGGATGAGAACACATGCCATGGCCCATACTGCTGAGATTACAGCTGGCATACTGGGAGCAGCTCCATCCAAGCATGTCCATGCCCAAGCAAGGCCACTGTCCTGTCACAGCACCAAATACAACTCAGGCCAGAGGGACCTCAGCTGCCCCATGCTGCCATTAGGAATTGGGGACAATTTGTAAACATCTGCCCGTGACATAGAGGCAGAAAACCTGTTACCATGAGTGCTCTTTCCTAGTGCCAAAGCTTTGCTTTCACACGGGATTCAGTCCTGGAGCTCACCCTGATGGCTCAGGACAAGGTAATTGTGGCCCAGAGGTGCGGAGGTTGGCCCAAGGCACATAAACCCAGGGTCTGTGTCTCCAGCCAACTGTAACATCACCAACAAAGCAGATATTTGGTCCCTCCATGTGCCAGTTTTCCAGGACCAGAAGGCTCACAAGCAGTTGCCAGCACACCAGGCCAGGTACATGAGATGGTGCCAGTTTGTCCCCTGCTGTCACTGCCTGGCCCAAAGCTGTTGCACCAGAAACATGATAAAAATGACCTGGGGGTAAAATTGAAGAGGAAATTTCCATTTTAGATGAAGAGGGAATTAAGAAAAACATATTAACACCAAGAGAGAGCACAGGGCTGGAAAACCAGGAAGTGAAAGACAATTGCTTCAAGATTATGTACAAAAAATGTAGACAGCTGAGAAGACAAAAAAAATGGAAAGAGTGGATGGAACAATGACAGCCATGGAGGACAAGATGAGCAGTAGGCATTTTAATCCCATTAGGAGAAATAATCCCCGTGGCTGGAGGTGTCAGTGCACATTCAGGAAGGTGTGCCAGGGTCCAGGAGCCTCCAGTCAAGTGGGAAAATCCCTCTTTTTCTTCTGCCCATCTCTAGGAGCAGCAGCCATCTCCAACATAAATCAAGAGAGATAGGAAAGGAGAGATGAAGGTGGTGGTGAGGGAAGGTTTTGCTCAAAGACTGGTTTTGGCTGGTGAGCTCCAGTGCTGGGCACCCACTGGCCTGGGATAATGAATGGTCCTGGGGCACCTGGGCAGTGCCACAGCAAGGCTGGGCTGTGGGGGCTCCACAGGGCCAGACCCTACCCCAGGGCCAGGGGATCAGAGGGAACAGACATGACCTTCCCTGTCTGTGACTGTATGGGAAGGAGAGGAGAGGAGAGGAAAATGAGAGGAGAGCAGATGGAGCCTTTTAAGAAATTCCTCAAACCCAGCACCCCCACACAGCCAAAGCCTTGGCAGCAGGCGGTGTGATCCCCATGTCTGTCACTCCATGGGCAGAGCAGTGGCTGAGGCTGGGGCTCTTGCTGGCACATGACCACTCCCTGGCAGACACTGCTGTGATGATGATGATGATGATGATGGTGATTCTCAGCCATGAAGGAGGCTTTCTCTCCAAGTTCTGCCATCCAAGTGTAGGGAAAGAGGGAATAATCCCCCCCAAATCTCCTGGGAAACACAGATCTTGTAGCTGACTCTCACCCCTGTGCATCCAAATGGGAAGGGGCCAGGCTTAGCATCCCTGTCCTCCCAAAATGGGTCCAAACCTTTCATGTGTAGGGCCAGTGGTGCATGCTGAGGTGGGGACAGCCCCTCTGTCACGGTGACACTGGTGTCCACCTCGACTTTGTTCATCACTGGTGAAGGAGATGCTGTTATTTTATGCTTCCACTTGACAGGGATGAAGCTCCATGGCAGCAATCAAGGGGCAGTGGGTGGCTGTGGCAGGGCTGTGAGGTAGATGGAGACAGTGGGATGGCCACAGGGGTTATCTGCCATCTTCTGATGGAAACAGGGGCAAAATGACACACTGTGGCCATGGAAAGTGTCACGAGAGGGTCATGTCCATGGTCAGGACTCACCTAGGACCACTAGGGAGTGAGGATGGGCACAGTGTAGGTACAGTCACATTTCAGGGTCACTTAATTAATGCTCAGACAGGGTCTTGTGGAAAGAGGGATATCCAAAGTGGAAAAATTATGTTTTTTTGTTAAAGTGTTGAGCTGGAGGGTGAGATGTCCCTTGCAGGGGGAAGGACCCCCTGGCACTGTGTGGCCAGGAGCTCTGGAAGAGAGAAAGTGAGTCCTGCAGTGCAGGTGCTTCCCTGGACCAAAAATGTCACACCTCAGCCAAGAGCTCCTCGGGCCCTCTCAGCAATAACAGCAGGGCCTGGAAGTTAACTTGGATTAGAAGGGAAGTTTTGCAAACACTCCTCCATTGCAGGGTGAAGTGGTGTGAGCCTGGCCCTGGATCTGGAGGCACCCAACAGAAGTGCCTGGAGCTTTGGACAGGCCTGCCTGGACTCCTCGCCTCTCCTGGGATCTCCACAGCTTGTGCAGCCTCCTCTGGCTGCTGGCCAGTCCCACCAGTGACACTGGTTGCTGGAGGTGGTGGGACTGCACGCCTCACTGCCAGTCCTGTGCACTCCACACAGAGCCTCGGGCACGTGGGTGTCCTGAGGGACCACCCCAGGGAGGCAGGTGGTTGTACCTTTGGCACCACTGGGACCCCCCAGGACCAGCCCGGCCCTGCTCGGGCATCTCAGATCCCAGCACAGGCGGATGTGGATGCCAGTGGGCATCATGGTGCACCCAGAGATTTCCCTGAGCTCAGAAGTGCTCAGCCCCCCCCCAGACTCCTGCACCTACTGATTGCCTCTGAGGAATGCTGGGAGAGCAGGATCAGGGTGAGCAGGATGCTGGTTGTGGTGTGGCACATGTCCCACAGGCTGGGAGCACTCCAGGCACTGGAAATGCTCTCCCCTGTGCTGCTGTTGGGGACGCAGCTCCTGGGTCCCCACCATGAGTGACCAGGTAGAGGGGCACTGGGGCAAGGGTGCCATGGGGTCACCACTGAGGTGGTGATTTTGGTTTGGAGAGCTCTGCCACCCTCTTGCCATGCCCAGCCTGGAGAGGAGCAGAAATAAAGCAAAGGGTTCACTCCCTGGCTACCTCTGCTTTAATGATCTCATGGAGGCCATGTGTTTTTTGGCTGTTGCAAACCATTAGTGCAACTGTGACAGTGCTCCATGGTGGATCCCAAAACAAGAGCCCCCCTGCTTCCAGCCTCTTACTGCAAACCCATGGCCCAAAATTCACTGAGGTTCCTTGGGTAGTTCCCTGTCCCGCTGTCAAGCCCCTGCATCCCCCCTCAGCTCAGCTCATAGATGCTTTGTGCATCCCCCGAGGCCACAAGAACATCCCGAAACTGGGAGACGACACGTCCAAAATGGGACCCCTCCCAAAACACCTTCCCACAGCAGGAGCAGCAGTAGAAGTCAGTGAGCTCGGCTCTGTCCAGCACCCCAGGGGGGATGGCACCGACCTGCAGGACTGTGCCTCCCCCCAGCACTGCATCTGCCCCACGCTGCTCCAGCCCCTCTGGCTGCTCTCTGTGCGCGGTGCAGCTGGGCTGGGCTGTGTCACGGGCTGGCACGGTGACATCGCACAGCTGACTCCCTGGGCACACTGTGGAGAGAGCAGACAGCACATAACATCAGCCACTGCTGTGATTAGCAGAGTCTGTGTTCATCCATGTGAGCGACCCTTGTGAGGGGCCCATCATACCTGCAGGGGGTCCAGGCTCTACCCCGCATCCCAAGGAGAAGCATCCCATGAATTTGGGAGAAGGTGGTCACCAGCATCCACCAACTGCCTGCCCTGAGCGTGGCACCTCTGCCATGTCCTGGGATCTGTTCCAGTCTTGGTAACTGCACCAGTGCTGCTGCTGTACTGGGTGCAATGGTTTTTCCTCCCTGTCACAGGTCAGGCAGGGCTGTTCTCCAAGCTGGGCTGGGCCCTCCACCCATGGCTGTGTTATGGGACAACCAATAGCAAGGGAAGCCCTTACTGCTGTTTAAATTAAACCATCACCATCATTCCCAGCTGTCTGTGCTGTTCATGACACCCACGACTCTCCTGACCTGCTCATGGACACGATGCCTTGGGGTATGTGTGGCCTCATTCCTCATCTCCCATATGTGACCCCCCATCTCCCACCACAAACACACCACCGTGGGGTGTCCCACAAGGGACACCGTGGGGTGTGATGTGGGGCCATGTCCCATGAGCTGTTCCTGCATGCCCCCAGCATGGGGGGATCATTGCCATGGCACACCCAGTACCACACCTCCCCCGGCAGCTTTGGAGCTCGGTGCAGCTCTCACGCCCGCGGCAGGGACACAGCAAGTCACTGGATCTGGGCAGCAGAAGCTGAGGGCTGAGCTGCCTCCCATCCATCAGGACGCCTGGCAGCTGGGGACAGGCTGCAGTTATTGCTGTGGGATGACTCAGTTTTGGCAGGGGGAGACTGTCCTGCCAAGGCACCAATTAAGACAACAAAGGGCATCCTGCATCACTCCAGCGCCACCTCTGGGGTGTCCAGCCTGCCCTTTCCAGGATCACAGGGACCCTATTGGGAGCCACCTGGGACAGAGAGGGACACCAGCATTCCTGGTTGACTTTTCCCTGCATCTCAAAGCTGTCAGGAGTTTGGGGTATGCTGGGGATTATCGTGGGGGAAAGTAAGGCTGCAGACAACCCTGAAATGGCCATCTCATCTTGGCAGAGCCACCCCATCCATGGCTGTCCAGAAGGGTCTGGACCCACCACTACTGGAGCAGAAAGAGCTGCAGCCCAGAAGGGGTGTGGAAAGCTCAGTTCACACCAGCCCCTGGTTCAGGGGTGCTCCCTGAAGCTCCCCCAGCCCTTCCACACCTCCCCAGAGGAGGTGACCAGATGGAGCTGGTGGGACACAGTCACCCCTGTTTCCCAGAAGACAGCCACCCTCAGGGTCACGGCTGTCACTGGAGATGTTCTCAGGGTGGATTTGCAGACCAGCCCTGCACCACCACGCCACTCATGAGTGGCACAAGTTTTTGATCTGCTGCCACAGCACAAGGGGAAGCAGCCCCAAGCTCCATCCCAGCCACTGGGCAAGAGTCAGGCTCACTATCGCTGTGGCCTGGGCAAGTGCCCCATGGCCCCACTTGTAGATGGGCCTTTCCTTCATCTCCTGCATCTGCTTCAGACGTGAAGTGGCATCCATCCTTAGAGGGAAAACAGTGACCTTGATTTCCCATTTTCTCCAATTTCTGGCAAGTGGTGAAGCACCCAGGCTGCTCTTGGGAGATTCCTGACACAGCTGGAACAGGTACACAGAGGAGGAGCCCATTTCCCAGGGATTCCTCTAGGACAAAGCCTGTCAGTGGATGGCAGATCCCCACGGCAGGAGCAGGGGCTCTGTCCTCGCCCCATTCCTACCTCCCTCTGCCCTGTGCTACATGGTGACATGGGGTGGCCTCTGCCTGAGCACCCTTTTCTCTCATTGTCCCCGCTCTCGAGCACATGATCCTGGAGGGAGGGACATCAGCCTTGGGTGAGACTTTTAGATCCAACCATAAGAGAAATGATGCTGCCAGCACTAAGCACCCCTGGACAACAACTTTCCTCATCATGGAGCCTAAAGAATTCCCCGGCCAGGACACAGCACTGGAACACCAACACTCTGTGTGCCTGCAGGGGTCCTGAGCAATTTGCTCTCCCTTCCAACATGCTCCCTCTGCTGCCCTGCTGCTGGTGGGCAAAGCCAATGGCAGACCCCTTCTTCCCTGCACGGGGGGGTGAGAAACCTCCAGCTCCCCAAACACCCCAATCCCACCCTCCTGGGCTCGTGGGAAAAAGGCAGGCAGGGAGGGAAAGTTCATCCCTTAAAAGCCTGGGGAGAGAAAGGCTGTGATGGTCACCCCGTATTCTGCCTTTGCTTGCACCAGCCCCCTCCTAATTGTGGCTCTTCAAAGGGTTGAGAATGCTACATCACTTCAAAGTGACCATTTCTGAATGGGAGCTTGTAAAACCCCTTCTCCCCCTCCCACCAAATTCTTCCCAGGGCTTTTGAAGATGCCTGCACTCCCCTCACTGCCGTGGTTAAAGGGCCACCAGGCACCAGGCACAGGATACCAGCCGGGCACATGGGAAAACTGCACTGGGAAAAGAAAAGGTTGGACCCCCAAGAAAAACAGGGGTTCCTGGAGAAAGGGGGGATTTTTTGAAAGAAGTTTTTTTTCTCCCCTGTGAGACAGGCAGAGCCCTCCCTGGAGGAGTTGCGGCTCCCCGGAGCTGCAGCCAGGCTCGCCTGGTTGCTGCACACCCTGGAGTTACGATGGAGATGGAGCAGACGGCATGTGTGGGGTGCATGGGGCTGCAGGGAGTTTGTCAGATCCCCAGCTTCCAGAGCTCTCTGAGGTTCACACCAAAGGCTGGATTCCCACTGCATACCCGTGGAGGAGAAAGGAAAGCCATTCCTTACCAAATCGATTCGAAACACCTCTTGGGAACTAATAATCCCATTATAAAACATCTTGAAAATAAAAACCCCTTTGCCTCTTGCTTAGGTCACCCCGGGGATGACAGAACCCGGATGGGGGGCTGAGCCCTGCAGCCCCCCAGCACCCTGGGGCTGAGCACCCACATGTGTTAGTGCTGCAGAGCTCCATGGGCAGCAAGGATCATCCTTATCCCCGAGCACTGTCCATAACCAGGCAGATCTGCTCAGCACAAGAGCCATCTCCTCCTGGCCTAGCACGTGCTGCCCACTCACACTGCCACCTCCCACCCACCACCCCTGCTTGCCCATGGGAATTAATCCCATTCCTGCATCAGGGGCACACAGTATTTCTGCATCAGGGATGAGCAAGGACAACACACCCCGGGCTGAGCAAGGCCACCTTCAGTAGTGGGATCTCACCTCTGCAGCAGCCTGCTTTGTGCTCAAGCTATTGCCATGTGCCCCAGAGCCGGGCGGCCCCACGCTCCACAAGCTTGGGTGCAACAAGAGCCCTCTGGCCTGGAATGGATCCTCTTCCTTCAGTCCCCAGCCACCAGCACCAAGACAGTGGGGCAGAGCCCCGCCAAAGGCACATCTCACACTCTGGGCACTGCATGGGCTCTAGTGCCTGGGAACCCACAATCCCTTCACCCCAGTGGACACAGAGCCCCAAGGGCACAGCAGCAACCAGCACCCCAGACCCCACGGCTGCAGGTCGTCACTCTGGTGGTCCCACATGAACCCTGAACTATTGCCACAGGCAGGCTGTGAGGGGCAAAGTGACTTGTCTCAAGGCAGGGACAGGGCAGGAGTCACAGCTCCATGTGCCCCATTGTGAGGTCCTGCCCATGGATGGGGGCTGAGCCCAATGGGAGGGACATGGCAGGGACGGGGGGATGCACACCCCCACCCACAGAGAGTCCCTTAGCACTGTGGGGGTCACACTGAAAGGCCTCTGTGATGGTGACATGGTGACCTGTAGTCTCTACAACCTATTCTGTTGGCTGCAATGCCAGAGTGCTGGGTCAGCACTGGGACCCCTCAGGGCAGGATGGGGGGGAACAGCAGGGCCTGGAAAGCTGGGACAGAGCAGGATCAGGGCAGACCTTTGAACCAGTGCCCATTTCCCTTTCCCAGCCCACACAGCCCTGATTTGGCTGGAAACAACCCGTCCCCACATGTGTGAGCCCTGGGCACCCCCAGGGTTTCAGTGTCAGGGTGCTGGCTGGTAAGCCCAACTTCCCAGGGGTGTGTGGTAGTTTGGCCTAGGCCTTCCTTGGTGACCAGTTTGTAACCAAGGAAGTGCCCAGATTTACCCGATATTCCCTACAATTTTTACGTAAGCTGGGGTATAAGAAGGAGGGAGGAAAGGCCTTCACTCTCTTTCCTTCCGGCGGCTTTGGAGGTGCAGATCTCCCTGTGTTGAGTCTGTCGGGTTGGGGAGTGAGGCCTGGGAAGGCCTTGTCGACCTTGGGAGGCGGAGGCTGCCGGCAGTCGCTCCAGCGGGACTCTCCCTTGTCCCAAGGAGAGTAGTAAGATATTCTTTGCTAATTCTTTTAGTTGATAGACCTTGGGCTATTGATTGGGATATATATATATATATTTTATTTTGGTTTTTGTTCTTCCCTTCCCCTTTCCCTTTTCCTTGAGAAATTGTATATATATTTCAATTGTATATAAGTGTAAATATATTTATATATTGCTTTAGCTGTCTCTCTCGTTTTGGTTTTTCTCGGTTGTTTTTTTCCTCCCTCTTCTCCCTTGGTTTGGGGTGGGGTGGGGACTTCTTGTGGTAAGGTTTGGAGACTTGGCAGGGAGTCAGCTTCAAACCATATCAGGTGCCAAGTGCTTCTGCCCAAAATCTTGCTCCTCAGGCCCTGTTTCTTGCCCAGGTCCCTCTGTGTCAACCCAGCCTGAACCAAGGCCTTGGGACGAGGGGCCATGTGCCTGTCCCAGCTGGCTCAGGTGAGGACCTGGCAGCTCCAGCTGCCTCCGGAGAGGCCGTGGGTCTGGCAGACCTGTGCCAGCACTGAGCCCTGCGCCCGCCGCACCCAGCACCATCGCAACTGCCTGGGGGGCTCGGCCTCAGCCTGGGCTGGGGTGTTTGGGAGAAAGCTCACAGCGTCCAGGCTTTGCACAGGGCTGAAGCAGACCTGAGAGCATTCTTGGAGTACAAAGGTGCATGGGAAACCTCAGCCGTGGTGAGAGATCAGCCTGATAAGAGGAGTTACGAGCCTGAGAAATGTGCTGATTGCAGGGCACTGAAGATGCCTGGTTATCTTTTCCTCCTCGATAAGACAGATAAACAAAGGACAAAGGACCCGGGATTGTGCAACCTGGGCTGCAGCAACCTGGCCATGATCTTAAGATGTTTCCAGGGCGGAGGAGGGAGGATGAGCTCAAGCAAGAGGCACCTTCAGTTGCTCTCATCTCCCAGTGCCGCCGTGGGAGAGAACCCTGCCAGCTCCTGCAGCCAGTGCCAGGCAGCAGCAACGGTCCTGCTCCGAATGGCTCCCAGGTCCTTCCCAGGGTGTGCTGGGCACAGTGCCCCTGTCAGCAGGCACAGCAGAGCTCTGCAAACCTGCAGCCATGACAATGTCACTGGGTCTCCAGCTCAGCTGTGATTTTCCACATGAGCAAATGAAATTCTGCTGAAGAGGGGAAGCTGGCAGAGCACAACCCATCTGGGCGGTGTTTCTGGCTGGTCTTGCCACTGCAGCTCCCAGTCCCATCCCTGTCCCACCTGGGGACATGAGGATGCTCCCATCATCCTGCTGTGCCCTGGAGAAAAGACAGCTTAATTGTATGGGGTTGCCTGGACTGAGGGCAAAAGGGCTGGGGACCCCCTGGGATCCAGCAGTGCAACCCTCCAGGAATCTATCCCTTTCCCTGCAGAAGTGTTCAGAGCAACCTGAGACATTGGGTGTGCCTTGACCTCTCCCACACACCATGTCTGGTATAAGGCAGTGAGGCTCCATGGGTGTGAGAGTGCTCCTGGGAAAGCACAGGAACCTCCTGCCCTTCCCACATGGCAATAAGGTGAATGTGATGCTCACAGAAAAGCCAAATGTTGTAGATCAGGGAATCATGGCAGGAAAAAAATTGCACCCAGCCTTAAGGCTGTGGACGTGTAGTGGGCTCTTCCCGCTGAGCACCTGGCTAAGGGCAGCAGGTCCCACCAGCCCTCAGCTGTCTCAGTGTGGTGGCTGTAGAGGAGGGACTTGGCACTCTCCTGGTGTCACCCTGGCTGGGAGCTGCTGCACAGCCTTTCCCGCACCATGTTCTGCAACTCTTCTTCCTGCCTGCCCTGTGCTGTCTCTGCCCACTTTTCCCCAGGCTGGTAGTGGAGCTGAGGGTGAGATGGGAAAGAAACCCCAAGTCACTGCTCAGGCTGGCAGGGGCAAGGTGAGTGCTCGAGCTGCCCAACACCATCCTGGCACCCAGTGCAGGGACACCCTGGCTGCTCCTCCAGCCACCAATGGGGCTGTCTGGGACGTATCCTGCACCTGTGGGATGTGGTGTTGGAGGAGAAGCTGGGTAATGCAGATCTCACCGGTCTCCAGAACCAGCTCTGGCAGCTGGTCAGGGAGGGTGCTCAGCCAGCATGGGCGAGTGTCCCTGAGCACCCCTGGCCACTCTCCAGCAGGGAGCAGAGGCTCTGCTGTGCCTGCCTAGCAGCACAGACCCAAGGAAAGCAGGACCAATTGTTTTCATCTTTTGCAGCACGTTTTAGATGGCAAGGGGGGATTTTACAATTAAAGTAGCCTCCTCTGGTGAATCCCAATCCGATGGAATGTGCTACATCCTCGCCTTTCCCAGGGACCAGACTTCATCTGGCAGAGCACCCCTCAAGCACTGGGGCCCTGTGCCAGCTGCTTTTACCGCACTGACTAAGCAAGAAGCTTCCCCATGCCAGACAAGAGCCTGTGACACAGCCCATCCCTCTGGGTCATTCAGGAGCCACACGCTGTCAATGCCTCCAGTGAGGTCTTGCCTGTGCCCTGTGGTGACCCACAGCCCTGCTCCTCTCTCTGTCCCAGCTCCAGTCTGCTCCAGGCACCCGGGGTGCTCAGAGCATCCCACTGGGAAAAAAGGCATCACACGACAAAGCTATCAGGGCCTGATTTCTAGCCCTTCCATCAAAGCCCTCATGCAGGGAAACTGTGGCTATGTCAGGGAAAATGTTCCCTAAAACCTCTGAAAGCCCTAGGTCCAAGTAAAAGTGAGCTAATACAGGATGAATAATTGGCCCTTCCTCATTTGGAAGCCCTGTTATAAAAATCCAGGAGCCTAACTGAGCAGCACTGGCCTGAGGTTGGCTGCAGATGGACTCCAGGACTCCAGAGCATCTGGGCTAGCCGTAGGCTTGTGTTGAGGGGTGGTCCTGCAGGATCCATCCCCATCACCCATCTGCCCCAGCACCCATAGGCTCCTCCCCATAAGAGGAGGATCCCTTCTTGCCTGGAAGCAGGAGCAGGGAAAAGCATTTTCTTACCTTTCAAGCAGCAGCAGCTGGCCATGGTCTGGGGGTTAATCCATGTGCAGTGACATGATGGAGATGACATGGCCTAGGCTGGAGTCATGGGACAGGGGCCAGTTCTGATGTGGGCTGTGGGTGCTGAACTCCCTACACCATGTGTTGAGCCACAACTGGGGGCAGAGCAGGTCCCTGCCACCAACCCCTCCAGAAGGAAAATGTAAAGTAAATCAGGGAACAACTGAGATTTTCCTTATGGTCTTCTGTGGCTGCCCAGGCTGTCCCACTGCCACCACTGTCCCTACCAAGTGATAGCAGGACATTGTCAGCACAGCCTTCTCTTTCACAAAATTTGACCCAAAGTGGGACATTTGGGGACAACCTAGTCAAGCTCACACTGATGCTCACCATCCCAGCAGCTCGGAGCAAAATCCAAATAGAAATGGAAACCCTTGGGTGGCAAGAGCCCCAGGGCACAGCAGACCCTGCTGGCAAGGCCCCAGGGGTTTTCACTTTCAGTGGGTGCCACTGCTCCACTGTGCCCACCTGCCCAGGAATCACGGCTTCTACTTTATGTCTCCACCAACCCTCTAGGGATGCTGTGGCACCTTCTGTCCCTGTCCCTGACTGCTCCAGGGTGGAGGATGCTCCCTGATAAGGTCATGTTGGACATGGTCAGCACAGGGGTCCCACCTGGTCTTTCTCATGAGGCTCCCCCAGGGACATGAGGACCCAGCAAGAGGCTGCATGGCCTGATGGGGACACGGAGTGTTGCAGAGGGGGTATAAAGGTTAGAGCAAGGCGGTCCCTGAAGAGTCTCTGTGGAGGAGCCACAGTGCTGTGTGGGACTATCCCAGCTCCATCATCCCCATCCAGAATGGGGAAAGGGAAACGACTCACACGCTGAACACAAACCACAGCATTTCTATTTCCCATACTCTAAAACTGGCTGAACTGGCCCAGCTGGTCTCTGGGTACACACACAGTGAGTGCCCTCACCAGAGAAACCACCGTGGAGGATGTCCCAGCCTCTGGGGAGGTGCAGCGCTCCCAGGCTGCTGGCACCATGAGAAAAGCTGCTCCACCACGTCCCTCACCCCCAGAGCCACACATGCAGCTTCCAGCAAAGCCACAGCTGGCCAGGAGTGCCCAGCAGCCGCTGCTTCCCACTGCTCTCTGCTGTCAACAGATGGGCAAACTGAAGCATGGCAAGGGGTGCACACAATGGCTGGTGGCAGAGCCCAGGCCGGGTTGAAGCAGCAACAGGGGCATGTTCCTGTTCTGGTGTGCCTGGGGTGGGTGTCATTTGCCACCAAAATGTGTCTCCCTCTGGGAAGCAGTGTGTGTGGGTCAGCACAGCTTGGGGCACGCATGGAGGAGCCTTCCATCCCCAGAGCCTGCTGGAGCCTGGCTGGGCAGGCAGCACTGACTCATCTCCCTGCAGCCTGACCTAGTTTAAGAGGTGCTGGGCAGGTGAGGAAGGCACCTGAGCAGCTCCAGCCAGGAGGCATTTCACCACCCAGGCTGAGTTTTACACGCTCAGGTAGCGATGGCCTCAGGCTGTCACTTGAGCTACTGTTGCATGTCACCAACCCCCCCAGGCTGGGCAATCCTGTGCACGACCCCGTGCCTCATGGGGCAGGACAGGGCAGCAAGGGTAGAGACATGAACCAGAGTTGGAAGAGCTCTGCGGGCCTGCACTCAGTGGCAGGTTGGTGGCAGGGGACCTGATTGCCTTCTGAGAAACCTCCAGCCCCAGGGGAATGGTCCTGCTCTGCCCAGGGCAGTGAGTCCCAGGCAAGGGCACAGGGAGGGGGTTGGGGTCAGAGCATCACTCCCAGCTTACCTGCACTGTGCTCCTCCGACGCCTGCCTGCTGCCCTCCACCAGCTGCCTCATCCTCTCCCGGGACACCTTCAGGTACTTGTCGCAGTTGCACACCTGAGAGAAGAGAGAGGTGGAGATCAGTGAGATGGCAACTGTGTTCCCCAGGCACCTCCTGCCTGCCCAGAGCACAAATCCACACTGGGCACCCCCAGCACAGGTTGGGCAGCTGCCATCACATTCTACAGGGGAAACCAGGGCAAGGCCTATCCCGCTGAGCACAGAGGGGCACCAGGCACAAGCCCCAGGAACCTCCTCTCCAGAGCCACTCCACCTGTATGGTGCTCAGCCACGTCTCCGTGCCAGGCAGAGAGTATTGCTGCCCACTCTTACTCCCTGGCCAGAAAACACCAGCAACTGAGGCTGCCTTAAAGCATCAAGCAGACACTCATAAGTCTGGGCTGTGGCTTCAAGATTTGTTCTCACTTGTCTGACAGAAGATGGGGAGGATGGCTGTGGACCCTGAGACACACTGGACTCTTGGCTGGCTCCATGCTGGGCTCAGCCTGGCTCTGCTGTAGCACTGTGAGCACTGAGTCACATTTTCTACTCCACCTTTGGTTTGCCAAAAGGTACCCAGAGAGGTCTCTGAGTGCCTGGATGTGCTGGGTGCTGGACTCCAAGGAGATCTCCAAATCCCACTGCTGAGGAGCACCCACAGACAGTGCCTTGGGCTGAGCACAGGGTGCAGCTGAACGCACTCAGAGTGATCAGCTAAATCTCCCCGGGAGCATCGCAGCCAGCCCCCCAACACTTTCCCTCTCCTCTTCTATCCCTGCTGGGCCAGGAGCTGGATGCTGGGATGTGCCACAACTCCTTTCATCAGCTGTTTGGTTTTAGGGGCTGTTTTTTGCTGGCAAAGCATTCCCAGCAAGCTGCATTCAAGGCAAGCCAGGAGAGAGGTGCGCAGCTTTGCTGACCAGAACAAATCAGTTCCCTGCCTGGGGCTTTGCTCCAGAGCCTGTTGAAATCAGAAAGGTTTTTCAAGCTCCCAAGCAGGCCCCAGCACGGGCCAGCAGCGGTTCTGCTGATTTGCAGCTGGAGCAGCACCAGGTTCAGTGCACGGGGCAGTGATGCCCCTGCTCCCACACAGCTGCCTACAGGACGATGGGGGCAGGATGTTTTGTTTGGAAACAAACTCGCCACCATATCCCAGCTCTGCCCTGTATCAGGAGGTGATTCCCACTGGCAGCCTCCACAAAACCAGCACATGCTCTGCATCCTTTCGGTCATAAAGCGTGCCTGGCTTGGGTCCCCAGGGTCCCGCTGCTCCAGCCCAGCAAATCATCAGCTGGGCCAGACCCACCCTGAAAGATGGCTCAGAAATAGGGAAGAGGAGCACAGAGAGATCCAAGGATGAGCAGGGAAAGAGAGAGATGGACTCCTTTTAGGACAGTTGTCACCTACAGCCATGGGACAGACCCTAATGATGCTGCCACCAGAGTCGTATTCCAGTCCCTGTCACCTTCAGTGGCGGACTCAGTGCTGGTGCTGTGGGACAGGTGGTCCCTTTGAGGCTTGAGGACATCCCAGCTTGCACGGGCTGGAGCTGGAGCTATGGTGTCACCCCCTGACAGGCACCCAAACCCTTGTGTGGCTCACAGGGACCTGTGGGATTGCAGCAGGCAGGCAGAGGTGGTGGGTCGTGTGCTGGCCTCACTGGCCATGATAGTGACAATGGGGAGGGGGCTGCATGCCAGAGAGGGGCATTGAGCCTGGAGAGGTGTGGGATGGCACATCCTGGGCACAGTGGCAGCACTGGGGAGTGAGAAGCTCTCAGAGAGCTCCCAAACCACCTGGCCATGGAGCTGCCAGCCAGATGCTACAACGGGGGCCCAAGAGCAAACAGCACCCTCCTCCCCAGCCCTCCCTGCCTGGCAAGGACATGCAGGGGCTACTCTGCCCTCTGTCACACACACCAAATCCCCCAGGATGCCCAGCCCTGGCAGCTTGGAGCCTGTCAGGCATTTGAGCAGCAGTGCCAGCTTACCAGGCACGGGCTCCTGGCTTGCACTTGGGTGCACAATGATCTCAGACAAATTTCTCTGCTTCTCTAAAATTCATTACTGTTGTGAACTAGGGGCAGCCCACCTCCCTGGGCCAGAGACACCTGGCAGCCCAGGGGTAGCCTGGCATTCCCCCCTTGCCAGGGCTGCCAGGCCCTTGCCGCCAGGCTCCAGCCCCACACCATCTCCCAGCCTCTGGGCCTTCACCCTCCTCAGCTTCCCAAAAACATGGGGTGAGCTCAGGAGCCAGATAAGCCACTTAGCAGCAACACCAATTAGCTGTAATAAAAAAATTGCAGTTAATTTTTTTTAATGTCTTGCCAAAATGAGCCAAAAGAGATGAAGTGAGTGGGGCAGTCTGCCATCTCCATAGGCTGGGCTGAGCTCCTCTTCCCATCTCCCTGCCTGGCCTTGCAGGGATCAGTGGTGGCATCAGGCTTGATGCCTGGCTCCTGCCCAGGGACACAGTTCCCCACAGCCTTCTGTGTTTCTGTGTCACAACCTGGGGATGTGGAGCAGTTTTTTGTGCATATCTTTTGTTTTCAGGCTAGAGAAGTGGGGAGCCTCTCTGTGGGGAAGGGATGGCTGTTCCTCCTCAGGAAGGTTTGGTTTCCACACATCTCCCATGGCAGGATTAGTTGTGGCCTCCAAAAATCTTCATGAGGTGAGTCAGCAGGAGCTGGTGGCACCTCGGAACACTGCCTGAGGGTGCAATTGCTGTGAGCAGGGGCCATGACCTGACAGAGAAGGGTTCGGCTTCTCTGCAACATCTCAGGGTCCCCCCAGCCCCTGTGCCTGGCTCAGGGTGGGGGTGGCAGCTTCTGCCCATGTCCCAGCCCTGCCCTGGGGACGATGTGCTGGGCAGGCTGAACGCCAGGTGCTCTGCTCACACCATCCTGCCCGGCCACATGGCCAGTGTAGGTGCTGGGCCATGGGCAAAGCAAGGGCTGAATCCAGCTTGGGACGAGCTGCGGGGCTGCAGCCCCCCCCGAACTCAGAACGCTGCCCTTGTGGCACAGTGGCCTTGTGGCACAGCAGGGTGTCCAGTGCCCCTGCCGTGGTGGGTGCCCGGTGCCCCCGGGGCGGTGGGTCCGGGCAGCAGCAGGCACACCTCGGAGGAGGAGCAGCCCTGCCTTTCTCACGCTGGGGCAGCCCGTGCCAGCACATGCTTAGTCACTGGTAAATCCCAGCCGAGATCTGCTCTGCCCTCTGTGAAATGGGTCTTGGCTGCACCCCCGCTGAAGCAATCCCGGCGCTCGGGAGCCCTGGCGGGCGCGCTTTCCCACGGCACCCGGCCCCCAGCGCCCCGTGTGAATCAGCCCCTGCCCGGGCAGCGCTGTGCCCTGCTCGGCTCGCGTGAGCGCGGCCAGGCGAGCACGGCCCCGCTCCGACCCCCTCGGCAGGAGAGGCGGCGAGGCTGGTGCCGAATTCAAGTTCCCCGGGCAGAGGGGCACGGCAGTGACACCTCCCCGGCCTCCCTGGGCTCTGCTTGCCATGTCCACGGCAAGGAAGAGGAGCAGGTGCAACTCATCTCAGATGAAGCTGTGGTCCCTACTGCAGCCCCTCATTATTGTCCCCTCTCCCTGTGCCTGTCTGTCCATCCTGACCAAGGTGCTGCACCCCAGTGTGGTGCACCATCCCCCCCCACATCCACGTGCTCCTGCCCTAGGACCTCAGGCCACCATCCAGAGGGACACTGCAGCCCAGCCTGCTCTGTGCTGCTGCCACCAAGAGCTCTGACACGGGGATTAGAAGCAGTGATATCATTGGACTGGGACTGTGGTGGTGTCACAGCAGGAGAGCTGGTGTGGATCTGTGGTCCCTGAGCCCAGCAAGGTGCTTGTCAGCAGCCCCAGCAGCCTGAGCCACCCCGCAGTGAGGTTCTCCCTGCCTGTGCCGCTGAGGAGGACGAGGCAGGTGAGATGTCCTTTTGCAATGCTGGCAGCCCAGCCGGCGCCTTGTTTTTGTTTAGGATGATCCCTGCCTCTCCCAGCCCTCCTGGGTGGGGATTTCACCAGCAGTGACGCACGAAACTCCCAGGACTCGAGGGACTGGATGCTTCAGCCTGGAGCTCTGCAGCCATCTCAGCATCCCATCCTCTTTCCGAGCCTCCACCCAGGGAGCTGAGAAGCTCAGAGAAAACTCAAGTCCAGTACATAACAGGAGCCAAACTTCTGGGACCCAAAAGGGCCACAGGAGCCAATGTGAGCTTGGCTGAAGCTGGGCCTGTGAGCTTGGGTGGACATCCATAGGCTGGTACCCAAAACATGTGGAACATGAGCAGTTCAGACGGCACTGGAGCCAGTTTTGCTCCTTCCTCTGATATCCCTGAAAGCTACATCTCCAAAGTTCTCTGATGCTGAGCTGAAGTTGGTGATGCTGAGCTCTGCCCAGAGGAGCCATCCCAGAAATGGCCCCTGGGCCTGAGGACTCCTTCCTCCTGCTCTGCTGACAAACGTCATAGGCCAACGTCACCAAGGGATCTCCTTGGCAGGGGTTTTACCTGTGAGACACAACCCTCTGCCTGGAGAGCTCCTGACTTGGGAAATCCTCAGTGTATCAAACCTGCTTTAAAGGACAACAGTGCCCGGTGTGAACTCTTTGGGGCAACTCAGGGCAGCTCATGTCAGGACAATTCCTTGGGCGTCTTCTGCTCGCCATATCACAGGACTACTCAACAGCCACCTGCAGTGATATCTCTTTTCCTACTCACCGCCTACCCTCTCCTCTTTCTCCCTCTCTGAGATGGATATCATCTGGTGAAAGGGCCACTCCTCCGGATGGAGGTTGCAACTCTTACTTTGGTTGTGAAAGCACAGCCCTTGAGCATCCAAGAGTTTCTTGCAGGGACTTATCGAGACTAGAAACATCCCCAGATTGCAGGATGCCCAGGCTCAGCACAGACTGCCCACAAGCAGCCTCCAAGCCCAGGAGTCATAGGTAGATGGATCTGCCTCTGCAGACCTCCTGCCTACCATCCAAAGCAGTGAGTGCCTAGAAAGGTGGGAGGTGGTGGGAAGGGCAGTGAAAGAAAACCAGGTAACAACTTAG